CAGCCATGCTGAGCTGGCTGATTTTCAAGCATGGAAGTGTTCCATTGATGATATCTGATCACATTCCAAAATGTGACTCTATCCCGTAGGGCGTAGGTCGCTTTATTTGGGTATGCGATAATCTCCTAGATGTCAAAATCAAAGGTTTCTTTACATTTCATCTCAGATTTGTACCATTGCTTATTCTGAAATCTCTCCTGTGGTGGCCAATGATCTACTGGATACAGTTTAGAGTATTACTACTACTCTGCAATGCCCTTGAATGGCTAAGAACCAATAATAGCAGTAACACCTTGATGGATCATCTTCTGTAGTATCAGATGATCTAGGTCAGTGGCTCCCAAACTTTAGCTCTCGAGGTGTCTGGGGCTTCAGTTCCCAGATGCCTCAGCCAACTTGGCCAACAGTCAGGAATTCTGGGAGTTGAAGGAGGATCAAAGTTTGGGAACCACTGATCTAGGTTTTAAGGCCCTACTTGTGCTGTCCTTCAGTGAAAATGGATCATTGGCATCCATAACTGGCAGGGCCTTCTCTGTTGTTACTCTGGCTGTGGAACTCTTCCCTGGTGGAGACCCACCTGTCCTCCATGCTGTTGCCTTTTGCCCCAATCAAGCACCAGTGGAAAATATATGTATTTGCTTAACCTTTCAGAGGATAGACAGTTTCTTTATGTGTTGATTCTTGAGTATGTTTTTATTGTATTTTATTTCATTTCTATAATTTTGTAATTATTATTTTATATGAAGTCAAAGGCTTTCATGGACAGCATCCATAGGTTTTTGTGGGTTTTTTGGGCTATGTGGCCATGAATAAATTCTTCCAGAACGTGGCTACATAGCCTGAAAAACCCACAAAAAAATTATTATGTTATAATTATTATTTTAATAATGGCTCTGTGCTGTGTTATAGCCAGCCTGGGCTCTATGTTGAGGTGGGATAAGCTATAAACCATAAACAAACAAACCCTTTCAGATTAATCAAGAGAAAGTAAGGGATGCCTTTAGTCTAATGGAAATGAATGAGATCATCTACTTTAAATAGGATGTAGGTTTAGACAGAGAAGAGAACAGGTATTTACTTCCTAGGTGATTTTGCAACTGAACTGGCTTGCATCCAATTTTTCACAGGTACTTTCATCAGAGTGAAAAACAACAGATCATGGGTGAGACTCATGATTAGCCATTACTAACTTAAGTCCTATTAGTTTCAATCAGTGTGTTCTAAGTATGAATCTAATCCCATGGTTTTGACATCAAAATGCACAATAGGCCAGATCCAAATAAATTTTATTTTATATAAGTTTCTTTTCAAGATATAATGTGGTATATATAACATGGGGGTGACCAGGTGTCCTAATCACAAAGGGGACAAGGAACTTCAAAATGTAGGACATTACAAAATAAAAGCTAAAAACACTAATATAAATATAAATTCATGCTTGTTAGTTATGCTCAAAATGGAAGACATTTTGCAATTCCTCTTGGATGGAAGGTTCAAATGTGGGGCATGTCCTGGAAAAGGAGGACATCTAGTCATCGGGTGTAACATACACTAGTACATAATAATAATAATAATAATAATAATAATAATAATAATAATAATAATAATAATAATTTATATTTCCTACCTATCCCTACAGATCGAGGAGGGATTACACAATAAAATGTATACAATGTATAAAATACAAACAATAAAATAGTAAAATCACAACAACAATTATAAGAAAGTTGAATACAATATAATAAATCAGGGGTAGGCAACCTTTTTGAGCCGGGGGCTGGGTTGCTGT